GATCACTGATTTCTCACTTAAATCCTCTATCAAGTATTCAAAGAAATAAGACTCAAGATAAACCTTTCCAAAATAGTCACTCTGACATGGAATGAAAGCAATGATGGCTGCAACACTGAATGTGTCATAAAAATTTAGGCTGTAGAATTAATAAATAATAAACACTTCAGATACTTTGGTGTATGGCCCAGTTGTAACAAATTTAGTATAGAAGATAAGGAAATTGAATAGAGAATAAACTGCACTAGGGGTAGTTTCACCCAACACCACAAGTTGCTCAAAGACATTAACCTAACAACATGAGTTATGTTCTTAAATAACCTTGTAAGATCGAGACTTTCATATAGAAGTTATACATGGTCTTGAAGAGGACGACATTTCATCAGATCTTGCATTACAGAGTCACAAACAATGACCCGGACCAAAATAAGAGAAACTACATCAAGTGAAAACTTCTAAAAGAAGCAACAACTAAAATGGATAGCACATGTAATTCAAAGAGAAAATAATGGCATAATAAAGATGTTGACATTCCACACCACTTCAATTAAAAGATTAGGAAGGAAACTCCCATCAATGTAGTAATGACCATAAACTTGAGAAACCTAATTTCCAGAAAAATTGTTTTAAATGGACTGGACCATAGTCGGGATCATCAAGTAATGTGAATGATCTTTTCATTAGCTGCATTGTATGTGCTTTGACAGGGTTACATAAAGTTTTGAATTCAGAGTTTTCCTTCTCTTAGACTGGTTGCTACCCAAGGCTATAGAACCCAGTCTGTCTTACTATTTCCCTATAGCTAGGAAGAGTTGAAATGTAAACAATCCTTTCTTTAGCTGCATAGTGTGTGATTCATCAGGTCTACATACAGTTTTGAATTCAGAGTTTTCCTTCTAGACTGGGTGCCACCCAACATTATAGAACCCAGTCTGTTCTAATATTTACCCATAGATGGAGGGAGAAGAGTTGGATTCATACCTTTCCCAAGGGTATTAGGTGCTGACCCAGCTCGATTTTTTCTTACCAGGAGATTTTGCACTCACCTAATCTATAATAATGACATCTGTCTGATAAGTACCCATCCATTTAATATTAATGGAAGTAGTCTAGGGTAATCATGCATTAATCCCTACCAAAGTATTCGTTTGTGACCTCACTTATCCCATCAGTCTCCTTAATCTCACCCATAGTGCTTCAATGACAATTTTTACCAAAAGTAACTAGGAACCAAATCAAGATTTGACAAAATTACATGATGTTTTGCTTCCATCACAGTAAAAAAATTTGTATGAGATTTCCTTGTGAATAAGACAGTTACACAAGACACATGTGCACTAAATAGCATCTCATTGCTGACTGAGTAACCCTATGGGAGAGCGTTTCTCTATGAGTTCTCTTTTGCTTGATGGCCAAACTGCCTCAAGGCTGCACAACCAGTTCTTCAGATCTTCAAAATGGATGAATGATTTCTGGACAAATCTTGTCAGTTATTGGCTTAACTTTCAATTCTTTCAATAAAAAGAATAACATATGCTAAAGATTACAACAGATTTACGATTTGGAGAAAAAAGTCCAGCTTCTTTTACAAAAAAGTGTTTATAAACAAAAAAGCCGAATCATATGCAAGAATCTTAAATATGTGAACAGAAAGCCTTAAATAGATGTAAATCCGTGCTTCAGGCTGCAAGAAGTCAAGTCAGATACAATTAGTTTTTACCTTTCTTTAAGTCCTGCCAGCCCTTTAGGCAAAACAGGAAATGGCATTTTTTTTCAAGTTCCTTTTTGCATAACAAGAACAAACTTTTGCAACATGAGTTGTTCTATCAAAACAAAACAAAAAACCTAATTCTATAATTTCACTAATATATACAATTTAAAGATGTCCATATTTAGAAACTGAATCCGGTTTTGACTAGAATCTGATTGGTGTGATTATTGGAGATTTTTCTGGATAAACTTATCCTACTGAGGCAATTCAAATCCTCATCATTCCTTTATTTTGAGCCACTCACTTCCCCAATGCCCCAAATATTTCCGCTGGTAGATTACACCAAGATTATTTATTCCTGTTTTCTGAAAACTTTAATGGTAAGTATTATTTATTGAGGAGGCATGGTGAAGTAATGGATAGCAGCTCAGCTAGAGAAAACAGAATTCCAGTCAAATTCATTGCATTTACTTTAGTGAAAAGGTATGAATCTATCTCTTCCCTGCATCTATGGGTAAAATATCAGGCTAGACTAAGCAGTGTAACAGAAACCTATGTAAGTTAAAAAGCAGAGTTGAATGGCTTCTCAACCTTTGGGTAGCAACCAGTTTAGGAAAAGGACAACTCTGAACCAAACACCATGAAGAAGACAATAGAAAAACCATACCATTATCTTTCACAAGGTCATGGAAACTCCTAGATAATAAAGAAAAGGAAGTTCTGGAGAACCATGATCATCTAAATCCTGAAGCGACATTGTAGAACAAACACACACACATGAATATATATATTCTACAAACATTCAAAATCTTGGGGTGACTAACAGACTAATTTCCAAGAAACAACAACAAAAAAAGAGATGGGGATAAATGCTAATAACAAAAAAAGCAAAAACAAAGAAAAACCTTACAAAAAAAAGAAAAAATCATACTAAGAAAAAAAAAAAGACCAAAAGATAAACATATATTTAAGCAGTAAATAACAATGTTCGATGCCTCACCCATCCAGACAGCATTGGCATTTATTGGATGTTATAATATAAATTCTTATTTCAGGTTTTAGGTCATTATTATTTGTTTTCTTTTAACCCTTTAGATACCGTGGCAAATAGATCGGTTATAACAAATTTAGTATAGGTCAGGAAATTAGAATTTTAGATAAGGAATATAGAATACTGAAAAATATGATTGAACTGTAAAAATGATGAGACCTTCCCTTGGTGTATGGATCAATTATAACAAATTTAGTATAGGAGATAAGGAAATTGAATATAGAATAGGCTGCACTAGATAGAATTTGAACTGTAAAATGATGAGACCTTCCTTTGGTGTATGGATCAATTATAACAAATTTAGTATAGGTGATAAGGAAATTGAATATAGAATAGGCTGCACTAGATAGAATTTGAACTGTAAAATGATGAGACCTTCCTTTGGTGTATGGATCAATTATAACAAATTTAGTATAGGAGATAAGGAAATTGAATATAGAATAGGCTGCACTAGATAGAATTTGAACTGTAAAATGATGAGACCTTCCTTTGGTGTATGGATCAATTATAACAAATTTAGTATAGGAGATAAGGAAATTGAATATAGAATAGGCTGCACCAATGGTAGTTTTGCCCATCAGTGCAAATTGCTACAAAACCAAAACATCAACCTGAAGGTTTGAGTCATATTCTTAAATAACTTTGTCAGATTCGAACTTTCATATGAATATTATGCATGCTGTCAATCTTGTCCAGAAATATCAAAACAGTCAGCTGCATTTAACAACTTTCTGAGATCAATGGTTAAAATTGACTTTGAGTGAATAAAGTGTTAGTATCTTGGCAAAGATCATCCATGGGGACTGGTGCTACAGAGTCACAAACCAAGAACTGTAGCAAACAACAGAAACATTCTTTAAGGACTAGCAACAACTAAAATGGATAGCACATGTAATTAAAAAAGAAAATCATGCCATAATCAAGATGTTGACACAACAAATAAAAAGTTTGGAAGCCCCCCCTTCAAAAACTGTAAAAGAGTGATGACAGCTATTGGACTTGAGAAACATATTTTCTTGAAAGATCGTTTTAATAGAAAGATTTTATAAATTTCAACCAAAAAGCAGTATTGAGTGCTTAGTCAATGAATGCCAAATGTTTCCTTATAAGGAAACAGCTTACATCACCATTACCATTAATAAAGCCTGTTATTGTTTTAGAGGTTATAACAAATTATATATTAAGTGTAGATAAATTCTTTTCAATTGTAGTTTCAATAGAGTTGGTAGGTATTCTGGTGCATCTAGTTTTATTAGCATTATTCATATTTTTCATTTTCCGATTTTTATAACGTTAGACACACATGCATGCAAATATAAGTTGTTATTTTGAAGAATTTTTATTAATTCATTTCACAAAAAGTGGCAGAGAATCTCAGAAAAATGTTTTTCTTCCCATATTTGCCTCTGGATATTTACACAGGTAAACATTGTGAAAATGCTTACCTGGCAGCGGTTTTATCAAGATATAAGCAGAAATGCAGGCACATGAGTCGGCCGCTCATGGATTATGCAAAAGAAGAAGTCTGGAGGTTCGTGGGCACGTGTAACCCCTGGGTCAAATAAAATTTGGGGAGGGGGGAGACAATTTTTTTTTTTTTTTTTTTTTTTTTTACTTATTTGCTTGTGAAAAAAAACAAAATGACAAAAAGAGAGAAAGAAAGAAAACAAAAAAGAAAGTTGGAATAAAAACATTCTTCCAATTTTGGAGAAGGGCATTTATCTGGAGTTGTTAAAATTTGTTGGCATTTCTCTTTTAAAGTCTATAATTTATATTGTATACAAACAAGAAAAAGCGGATAAATAGAAAAAGATTGGAGGGGAGAGAGAGAGAGAGAAAGTCACAAAGAGAACGAGAGACCTAGATAGACATGAAGAGACTAATTAGGTTGTGAATTAATTTAATAATATATCGATCCGTGTTAGAGCATTTAATATTGAATATAAGTCTTATACGATTGATTGATTCATTCATTTTCTATGGGTTATCAACTCTTTGCAGGTTACTTAAAGCCAAAAAAATATTATTAGATCTTAAGAATATTCTTTTTGGAGATAGTGATGTAGTGATATGAGTCTTACTAATTAACCCATAGTTGGGGGAAGAAGAGATGAATTCATACCTTTCCCAATGGTATCTGTGCATAAGTGAATATAATGACCCCAACTGGAATTAGAACTCAGCTCTCCAATTAACAATTCCGAGCCATTATCTATTACACCAACTGCACATCCAAGCTCACAGCATCAGGTATTCATAAGTGATCACCCATATAAATACTAACCAAGCTAGATGTTGCTTAACTTCAGTGATCACACAGGAACTGGTGTTTCAATGTGATGTGGCTGTGATCACAATGACTGAATACATAGGTAGATATAGCTTTGGTTTTATACAAGTGTCAAAAATTGATTCATTTTTTACTGATTATCAACCCTTCATGGGTTATTTAAAGCTGAAACTTATTTCAGATTGTAGGAGGTTGCTTACAGTGTCATGAACAAACCTATTTTGATGATGACAAATTATTTCCTGACCCTTGGCACTTCCTCCTTTCCTGATTGTCAAAAAGCTTGATTAGCATTTACAGGTCTGATGGTCCTAGAGAAAGACAACAACTTGAATAAAAGAGTTAACTAAATGGAATTGATAAGCACATGTACGGTGCTAATAATTACAATGGCAAATAATAAATTCAAAAGAATAACATCAAATAATTTAAATATAATGGTGCTTATTAGATCTACCTTCAATAAGCAATTTTATTCAAACTATTACAATAGATAAATAGGAATGATAGTTCAACTCTGATGATCAGATTGTTCAACGAGGCCTGAGGTGCACTTGTCAAAATTTTGTGATCAGATGGCATCATTATTTTAGTCAGTTGGACCTATTCCATTTAGTCAACTATTTCATTCAAGTTGTCTACCTCAAGGATCATGTGCCCAGTAAACAGTCGTCAAGCCAAATATTGCAAAAGCTTGTATTTAGTCATCAGATTTTTTCCCTCTAACATCAGAAATATTTTGTTTGCCAGAACAGAAAACATAAGTAATGGAGTAGTAGTAGTAGTAAAGACAGTGAATTGCAGAAAATATAACCTTGCTCAAGGTTCAACTATAACCAATGTCAAAATATATGTATAGAAAATGCTTATTGATCCAGAAAGTTATATTAGTAATCTGAGTCTAAATTCAAGCCTAGTTTGTTGCATTCACTTTCACACTAATGACCATGGGGAAGGTATGAATCTGTTTCTTTTACTCGTAGCTATAGGGTTGGCTGGCAATTGGGTACCAGTCAGTCTTGAAGGAAGACAATTCTGAACCCAAAACTATGGAATAAGCAACAGGAAACCACTCTACTACCTTTCCCAAGATGACATGGCAATTAACTATGAATAAAGAAAAAGATTTTTTTTTTTAACTAATTCACCCCAAACATGACGATAATGCCACTAAGACACAAGGGGCTACTAGGAGTGAAAACGGTGAATCTGTATATTTGTACACACAATCTGGATTGTCTAAAAGGTACTGGTCTATCACAGAACCCTGTACCATCTGCTTTCAGCTAAACCATTAGACATTTTCAAGGATTTATTGTTATAACACTGTAATAAATGGTAAGTGCTACATTCGACAGTGCTGAACTTGCTGAAATTAGGCATAATATTAATTCCTGAATACAGCCAGTATATTGTGGTCATATTCTTAACTGATGCTATTATGGGTTGACTTCCCATTTTTATAATAAGAACTTCCATCACTCCAAAACACATTTTTCAGCTGATGGTTCATATCACATTTGTGGTCTCAACATGTATATTGAGGAAACTTTAGAAGGAACTGGAAACCGAATCTAAAACAGGAAACAATGAATAAACCTCTACATCTATTCAAAAGATCAGGGAGGATTGTGAACTGAATGTTAGATGAACATATCTACTATTATGAAAAAAAATAAAAGATAAAGTTTCAGATTTTAGGTGGGGATGTTAGAAGTATAGAGTTGAAGTAATCTTTTGGGGAAACTGGAAACTCGGCTCTAAACAGGAAACAAGACAAAGCTCTACTCCCATTCAAAAGACCAAGGAGGAGGTGAATCGAATGATAAGAAAACCTATCTACTCCTATTGAGGAGGAAAATATATTAAATAAAAATTCATAATTTAGTTCTATGACTGAAGAAACATGGTATTTGTTATAGCATACCTACGGATGATAATAGGTATGTCCCCATTCATATAAATACAGTAGTAAATACTGTATGTTGGTCTGCAGTTGGGGATTCATTGTGGAATTGACTTGACTTACTTCTAGCAGTTGACTACTTCTTCTACGTGCTGCTGGCAAATATATGTATTCTTTGTGTCCTAAATATTATTGTTTATTAGCAACCTCTGTGTGATTATTGTATTTAGTAACCTTCCCTAGGTCACAACAGTATTCCATTCATTTTTAGGCATGAATCCATTTTTTTCTCCCATCTGCCATAGGTTAAAGAGTAGGTTATACTATGTTCCCTAGACTTGGATGGTAGCCAGTCTAAGAGAATGACTGCTCTGAATGCAAAAACTATGGAGAAAGCAATGGGAAACCATTCTGCCATCTTTCTCAGATAATGGAGAAAAGGAAGCTGTGGATAGCTTTGACCACCTACATCTTCATGATGTACAATAGTATGTATCCTGTCCAGTAACACAGATTTGCTTGGTTGCCTGACCTTAATAAGTTATGTATGACCTTTAGGCGCTGACACACAGTGCATTGCTGGTAGTAGTGGGGGAACTATCATGGCCAGGTGTTGAGAAGGTTGCTTTTTTTTTTTTTTCTTTTTTTAAAGTTTGATGCTTGAGGCAGCCAGGGCAACTTGAGAGTCACATCTTGACACCTGGGAATACTCAAAGTTGCAGACTGAGCAGATAATGTTACCCAACCTAAAAGTATTACCACCCACTTAGAAATACTTTCAGGTTAGGTAACACTATCAAGAATAGATACTGAGGAAGGTGCTGGAAATTTGAGAGACTTGTTTTCATTCAGTCTCTTGCAATAATGACCAGAAAGCTGGAGTGAAGATGTAAATACAGGAATGGATACTGAGGAAGGTGCTGGAGACTTGAGAGTGTCTTATTTTCATTCAGTCTCCAGCAATAATGACCAGAAAGTTGATGTGAAGATCTAAATACAGGAATAGATACTGAGGAAGGTGCTGGAGATTTGAGAGACTTGTTTTCATTCAGTTTCCAGCAATAATCAACAGAAAGCTGAGTTGAACATGTAAATATAGGAATGGATACTGAGCAAGGTGTCGGGGATTTGAGAGTCTTCAGCTATAACCACTTGAAATCTGGTGTAAACACATAACTACAGGAATGGATACTGAGGAAGGTGCTGGAGATTTGATACTTTTAGCCACTCAGTCTCCAGTAATAACCACCTGAAATCTATTGTAAACATGTAAATACAGCAATGGATACTGAGCAAAGTGCTGGAGATTTGTTGTCACTCAATATCCAGTAATAAACACCAGAAATCCAGTGTGGATATGCAAATACCTGAAAGGATACTGAGGAATGTGCTGGAGATTTGAGAGACTTGTTGTCACTTATTCTCTAGCAATAACCTCCAGAAATGGTGCAAACATATACATACATGAAAGATTATGATGATGATGAAAATGATCAAATGCTGATTAAGAGACAACAGCTAGAGAAATAAAACAATTTGCTCCATTTGTTCGTCTGTTTTTAAGCAAGCTTTCAAGCAGGAAGAGCATCTGGACACAATATGACAGAAGCTTATTTTCTTAATGACCCTTTTTAGATATGCAGACTTGTGAACTTTCCGATAAATAAAATGATTTTGTCAACAGATTAAAAGAGAAAAGACATAAGGTAAAGAATTCAAAGAAATAAACGCATCAAACTTTCCCCCACTGCCAAAACAATGACTGTGTGTGCGTTATACCAAAGTTACACTATATCTGTCTGTGTAGAGGGCAAGGGGAAAAGAGAGTGATGTAGACAAGAGGAAGAGGAGGAGGAGTAGGAAGTCAGTTATCTGGTGCATTTTAACTATGAAATACAGACAACGAAAAGATCATAAACATGATTATTGAGAGGAAGGACAAAAGTGAAAAAAAAAAAGAAAAAAGTACAACAAAGCAAAAAAAAAAAAACCCTCAAAGACGAGAGAGATAGCAATAAAAGTAGAAACTAATGGTGGATGAAAGTTTTTCAGAATTTCCATTCCTTTTAGTTTGTGATCTTTGTGACTTTAAGTGACAGTCTTTCTTCTTCCTTCTACAGCTATCATCCATCTATTCAGATGCAGGTGTGTTGTTGGAAACATAGGTAAGTAAAGTGCAATCAACAACAGTTGCTCTCAAAGACTCGTCTCTAACCTGAAAACAGGTTGTAGTGCCTTCTTAATAAGGGCCATTTCCTTTGCTATTTTCTTGGAAATGGTTGTGACAGGGAGGGCATGTCAAAAGGAGTGGAGCAGAAAGAACGAGAGGACGTTCTTACAATATTTCCAAGAGACTTGACTGACATATATCGGTAGTTATATATAACTAGACACTGACACAAAGGGTTTAACATTCTCGCTTTGTTTCATATATATATATATATATATATATAGAAAAAGTTGCAAATTAAAAAAATAATAATGTTTTTTATGAAAGTATTTATTTATATATATATTTGATATTTCAGATTGACCTCAATCTTTCTTCAGAAATAACTGTTATTCTGAAGAAAGATTGAGGTTAATCTGAAATATCAAATATATATAAATAAATACTTTCACAAAAAAACATCATTATTTTTTAATTTGCAACTTTTTCTATATATACATATTAAGAAAGTATATGTGGCTTCTCATTATGCTATATATATATATATATATATATATATGTGTGTGTCTGTGTGTAAAATATATAGAAAATAGGAAAGAACTCATTAGGTAAATAATCCAAAGTTCTTTAGTATTTTGTTATTATTTTAAAAAATAGTGCTCGATACAAAAGTAGAGCATAAATACAATTATATATATATATATATATATATATAAAGAGAGAGAGAGAGCATGAGAGAGGGAGTGAGGATTACTAAGGTAAATATTAACAAAGATGGATAAATATGAACAAACAAAGAGAGATGGAGATGAAAATGCTTATATATATATATAGGAAAAAAAAATTGTTATAAAGATTATGTACAAAAACTTGTATAGACTAAAATGAGGATTGAAAAAAGAGCTCTTAATATTTAATATAGTGATATTTATAATATATGGATTTTAACAGAGAAGAATTGAAACTGTTACAATTGGATTT